CCAAATGGATTTGCCGAAGACGGGACGTGGGTTTGCGCCTCCTTTTTTGGTTTGTCACAACAACCGAGAAAGCAGAGGACGCGAACATGAAGATTTCGCCTGATCTGTCCACATACGTGCAACACGACAACAAGCTCGAAGATGTCGAGATCGTAATTCCGCTGATGGTGAACACCAAAGATGTGAAGGCAAATGAGACTCTGGTTTGCTACCGTGAGCCCCGTTCTTCAGAGCAAAGCCTAGAAGAGATAGTGCGCTATTCTCCACTGAAAAAGCGGAGAACAGGGAAGCAGCCTGAGTAAACATTCAAGAACAATGGTCGTGTAAATGTGTTATTAGTGGTTTCGGTTTGTGGTTACGTCCAGGCATGCTACTCTTGTCAGGTAAGGACTTGAAGTCTCTTCGGATGTTTTTTTGAGGCCTTGATGCCATACTTCAGTGATTGCGCTTGTCCAAAAGCGAGAGAGTGGATGAGCAGCCAACTATCTGCAGTGATGATGTTCTGTGCACGGCCTTTTTCGATTTGGCAAAACTAGACAAACAAAATCAAACAAAGCATTAAGCAACTGTTTGCAATTTTGGCATTGACATTTAGTTGGAGGTGTGTGCTTGTCGTTGTCGAGAACTAAAAGAATGTTCAGCAGCTAGTGGCCCTCACGTTTTCTAGCGCGTACCTATGGAATTTGGATGCATTGGATAAGGTTCCGTAGGAAATGCCAAGCGCACGTTCGCAGTTGCGATTCAGCATTAGTCCATACCAACATGTGTGCACACATACCACTTCGAAAATTGTATGGCTGTATCTGTCTCAAGTTGTCTCAATTGAAACGGCTGTGCCATTGCGCTCGCCAAAGCTGGGCAATCTTGCTCGCTTCATGGCTCAGACCTGCAAAGTGGAGACCATCTACAAGATCACCAATGATTGCAATTCCAAGCATCCTTGGTACCCAGAGGTTTGCGTTGTGAATGACATCCCCTTTGTCCAGATTTCCAGGTTCAACCGGGACTTGACTCGCTTTGTCACGGGGAAGGCTCTTGATTTGAGGAAGGACAAGGGGCATACGATTGGAGGAGCATTCATTGACAAGATCATGGAGTTGAGAAACAAGGCCAGCCACAATGCCTTTGCAGAAGTGACCCAGAACCCGGAAGAGGCTGAATGTCATCCTCGCAAGCGGCCGCGCAAAGCCAAGAAGTCAGATTCTTTGCTGGCTCCTGCATGGGTGTCCATTGTCTTTCCATCAACAGCCCAATTCGAGGAGGGTGAAGTAAAGTGCCTCTGGGGAGTCGGCAGAAACCCTCTTTGGATTGAGATGCAGTCAGGGGTCCTGGACCACTTGAAAGATGGCATCAAGGAGCTTGGGAGCATTAAAAAGACGACTACGTCTACACCTATGAAGGGTCGAAAGCGGAATGGGGAGCAAATGATTTGATCTTAATGCTTGATTGGTTGACGCTGTTTATGAAACGCTCACCCAATCCTTTCTCGCCATGTTTCTGGCAGAAGAGATGCCATTTGGGGAGACCTCGTCAGTTTTCTCTGTCAAGTTGGATTCGGATCAGGTTCACTGTGTTTGTATCCTTGGAATACTTTGGCCACTGGATCGACCCCAACACTGGATCGACCCCAAGTATATATATATATATATAGATCTATTGTTTTGTTCTGGCACAAAAAAAAAGTGTACTGTCTGGGGAGGTCTTCGGAAAGTCAATCTGGTGGATTGATGCGGGGGTTCATCGACGCAAAACAAAATCTTGGAAACAAATAGTGCTGCTTCTAGCTGTTCTGTTCTGAGCTAGTTGATGTCATAGGCAAGCCGTGTGCGTATTCATATCAGTTGAACCAGTCACGATTCTGCATTATTGTAGGTTGGGCATCTAGAGATGAAGCTTGAGCTGCAGCGCATGTGAAACTAGAGTCTGTATGTAGTTGTATATCATTTTGCAAAATTGCAATTCTAGTGGAGAGTGGTGAGAGGAGAGGAGATTTGTGTTTTCGACCGCAGGCTCAATGAGGCCGCAACCATTTTTCAGGAAGCAGGTCTGGCAATCCATACTCATCAATCTCAACAACATGTAAAAACATCTCCCCTTATGTATCCATAGATTTCACATGATCTCAACACGCAGCACCATGAATAACAAAAGATGAAGCATTGAACAAGCCGGTATCGGACAATCAGGGTAGATACTGAGAGGCTGTAAAACAACGTTGTTATACTCACCACCTTCCCTCAATCTTTCCGGATTGCCGTCATGGCTGATCCTGATGATGGTGAAGCTGTGACTTCAGATCCCTACATGATGGGGGGATTCGCTGGCCAATGATGGAGAGGAAGAAGTTCCCCAAGCAGTCAAGGAGTGGCGCGTGAAAGAGGAGGAGGAGGAGGAGGAGGAGGAGGAATGGGAGTGGGATGCCAGCGAAAGCTGGTGGTGGTGGTCATACGATGCTTGGCATGAGCAAGCCAAGGCAGAGCCCGAGGAAGAAGAGGAGGTTGAGGAAGAAGTTGAGGAAGGGGTCAAGCCTTTGCCTCCACCGCCGGTGCCATCACCGAGATTGCCTCCACCACCCCCACCTCCAATGGAGGTGGCTTCATCGGCGTCATCATCGAGAGGGTCATCCGGCTGGGAGAACCGTGGCACCAAGGGGAAAGGAAAAGGCTGGAAAGGCCGTGGGCAACGGAAGGGTCACGGCTATTACAGCTACAACCACAGAGGTGAGCAAATCTACATCGACAGCTGGGGACACGAGAAGCCGATGCTTGCAGTGATTTTGGAACAGTTTACTCTGTGATTTCATGGTGTTGGTATATAATGTTCAGAAATAGGCCAATTAGAACAAAACGCACATAACGTCTAAGACTATCTAAATGAGACAGCCTGGACGAGAACATAATCAATACACATCTATCGACTATATAAATAACAAAACTAGCAACACTTGAGCTTGTGAACACAGATTTGAATTCTATCATTTGGCTAGGATACAGCCTGCACGAGAGCGTTCACGAAGGAGAGGGGGGGCAGCAAGTCCAGAGGGAGAAGGGCTACCTTGAGCTGGCGTCGCAGGCGATCGATGCCAACCTGCGCATGGCCAAGGCCGTTGAGAAGATGGCGGAGCGCCGGTAGTTTTCTCTTTTTTTGGGAAGCAGTTTCACCTTTCAGAGATGCAACATCCTGAAGAGATATTTGAAAGCGCATGAACATTTGTTTGGGGCCAATACTGTACTTCAGGGTGACCTGGCATTCTATACATAGTGTCATTGATCGGCTGGATCACGCAGTTGGAAATTGAAGCAACTATAATGCTTCCACGATTGCTTCATCGTGACACTTGGCGATCTCATCACATTCAATGAATATCAAAAAGGGACAGTGACTATACAGTATAGGGAATCCATGCTCCTTGTTTTGGAATCCGGTGTCACTGCAACAATCTGGTCTATAGGTGGCAGTTTTGAGAAACGGGACGTCGTGGCAGTATCCTGCAATTCTTGCTGCTCCTCCATCCTCAGCATTGAAGCCTTCTTGTTGAAATTTGATTCAATTCAGCCTTTATCAAACGTTTTTCACATTGATCTTGCAAGCTTTGACAAAGCTTGCCAGCCTGAGTGATGGGTCACTGCAGATGATTTGAGGAATGCAGGATTTAGCCAAAAGTGGCAGCCTGCTCGTGTTTGACGACCTGGATGGCCATCGACACATGCGAGAACACCAGCTAGGGTTTCCAAAGTGACAATGAATAGCCAAGAGTTGCAATATCTTTCACGTGGATGGCCATGAAAAGCCAGGTGTTTCTTGATCATTTGGAAAACCAGATTGCCCATGATCTGTAGATTTCAAGACGCTGTCCCCATCAAGGTTTGGTGTACGCACAGCTATTCTCAAACACAACAACCTTAGTGAAAGTTGCACACACAGATGCAAGAAGTGTCGTTTTGAAGAAATTGTCATGGGAAGGATGGAGTCGGCGCTGATGAAGCTTTTGTCACATGCCTCAGTAGCAACGTACAGAAAACCCTGTTTTATATCAATTTATACTATTTTAGTTTTCCTAATTCATAGTGTTTTATCAATCTATAATTTTTTAGTGTTTGCAATTCATAGTTTTTTATCAATCTATATTTTTTAGTGTTTGCAATTCATAGTTTTTTATCAATCTATAATATTCTACTATTTTCACTTTATGTTTTTTTATCAATCTATAGTATTTTATGTATTCCAGTTCACAATCTATAAAACGTATGTATTCCCATCACATTGGTGATTGTCAAGTTATATACAAAAGTTGCTTTTCAATACATTGAACAACAGTAGCCTCTAGGCCTCAGAGGTGCATTGGCAAGAGCTTGATCACCATCCGTGCGCAGTACAGTTCATGAGCGCATGTCGTAAAACATGCTGGATGTCAAAGGGGATGGGGAGTGGGTTTGAAGGCAACGATCATTTTCAAAGGTTATTGAGGGCTCAACCTGACCCCGAAGTCCAGGAGGCGAGTGAAATCTCTATGTTCCCCCGCTACATTCCATTGCGAGCCAAGTTCACCCCTACATCGTCCCAACAAAGGCAGATTGACCTGTAAGAAATCTCATCTGCGATTTCCTTCGTTCTCCGGACCTACAACCAGCCGTCTTGGTTGTTTTGGAAGGGTTTTCGAAGAGACCTGCAAGGTTTGGGATACCTACAGTAATCCCTTCAGAAACGGAGCCCCTCCAACCTGTTAACCTGTGTTCTTACCCCATAATTTCTTCATTGATGGCACTGCGGTCTCCCGTAATCAGTTTTTTGTAGAAGTTGCTTGCCCAAGGCTTGTTCACTACAGTACATGTTTGTTCAATCCAATAGTCCTGAACATGTCCGCAATTTTGTGAAAAAGAAAGGGCTTTCCAGAACCATTTCAAGGTGGTGCTATTTGATAGTATCACCTTGATAGCATTTGGTTTTTGAGTTTATGACATTTCGACAATTGATCAAATTTAGGTGTTTGTGAAAGCCTCCTTTTCATCAAGAAAATGCACATGTGTGGCAGTGGCAACCTTTGTTTTTTGAGAGCAGCTGCATTGACGTTCAAACTTTACGTAGCTGGGCCTTGTGCTCGCTTGAGCTGGGATTTTTTTCTCGCTCATACCTGGCCCAAGCTGGGAAACTGAAAACTGTACTGTAGCTCGACACTTGCAGACCTTGTCTCCCATAGCGTGATGGCGGCTATGTGGGAGTGCGCCTTTGTGAGCGTCCGTGCTGCTGATATGACCGCAAAGGATTTACCCCATTCGCGAGAATGGAGAAGGGTGGGGCATTGGCAAACTGAGCGGTTGGATGAAAAGCGGCCTTTGTTCCTGAACCTCACGAACTACGGTCAGGCAGGCTTCCAGAGCACCTATGTGAAGTCCATCCAAGGCAGTGACGGCAGAGAGATTCTTTGCTACGGGCAAAAGAATCCAATGTTCCAGGACATGGTGCATAGGAGGGTGCGTGCCAAACGCTCAGTCACAGTGGAGACTGTGTTCAACGACGAGAAGACAAAGGTGGCATTGGTGTGGAGGAAGGCGCTGACTGGAGAGCGGATCCATGTGTCAGTGGTGCCAGCGGATACTCCTTTGCGACCTCCCTCTGCACTCGCAAATCTGCTGCTCGCAATGGTGGCCAAGGACGAGGCGACCATGCAGGAAGGATTCTACCTGATGTCGGAAGAGCGTGGCAACCTCTGGCGCCCGCCCGTGATGAAGCCCGCAGAGCCTGCAGAGCCCGCCGTGAAGCGTCGCCGTAGAGCGCCGCCGTGAAGTGCGGCCGGTCGATTGTTACCATGGTTCACGCGCCAAGGATCTCCTGCAACACTCAAATAAACTTAGGTCGACACACACACACACACGCACACAAACAGGTTGCGCTTCAAGTTCTCTTGTGCTAAGTGAAGCTTGGTATGTCATTCAAAGAGGAGTATCCTGAGAGTGCATTGGTTTTTGAATATTGTTGCAAGGCTTTCTGCCGATCATGAAAACTTCATCGATGAAAAAAAGCCGAGCACTGTGTGCCCAGCGAGCATTGTGTGCCCAGCTAGCGGGTGAGTGCCCAGCATTCGACAGAAGGGTCATACCTGTTACTCCATTTGATCACTTTTTGCATGTGTAAGGACACTTCTAATTGTGAAGATCGGTTCATTTGATGTCAAATTCAGCGGTGTGCAGTTTGATTTGCTTTTTGGGGTGAGATGGAAAGACTTGTGTATTATATGTTTTGATGCTCTGTCTGTGCAGTTTGAATCAGTTTTGTTGAGATGTTGTTGGATTGATGGTCTGTACTCATTTTACATGTAATGCATGGCTGGGCTTGCGCTCGCTCATGTTGCTGGGCATTGCTCGCAACATTCCAGCTGTTACAGGGCAGGTAGAAGGCTCCCGCTTGGCTTTCCCCAAATCTCCTCATGGCTGTGGCTTTGGAAGCAGATTTGGTGCACATGCACAAGTTCCTGTTGAACCAGAAGGAAATGATGAGTGAAAAGGTCTTCAGTGACTTGATGGCAGCCCAAGTCAAAGTCTTCACCAGCAGGCTGGAGGCAGCCAAATTGACCGCTGGAGAGGGCGCCAACCTGTCATCCGTGTTGATGAACGGGCCATGGACACATGCCCAGAAGGGAGAGCTGGGGCAAGCGCTGGCCAAGGGGTTGGCAGGCGACCTGCCAACAAAGGGTGGAAGAAGGCCATCCCAGCAAATGACAAGCTTTCCATGCTACTTGACAGACTCGGACCTTGAGCACCTGCAGAGTGACACTCACAGTCTGGTGAAGGTCGAGAAGTTGGTTCAGCGGTGCGTCTCTTTGTCGCTCCACTTGCCTTCTGCGAGCGCGGTGAAGCACATCGTTTCCACAGCAGTGGATTGCAACCCAGATTGTTTAATTTGCGTGCATTTTCTTCCTTTGTCACTTCACTTCACCTAACATATATAGATGTGTTGAAGGTGTGGGTTGTTTGATTCTAAGGTGGATTGGTCGCGCCGACCGCGAAGGACAAACATGACATTTTGAAGGCATTCACAACAAAGCTCAGGGCTACGGTCAAGCATATGCCGAAATCTTCTATCCACTTGGAGAGCTACCCGGCAAAGCCAGAAAACTTACCGCAAGAACTCTACAATGCAGCCTACTCCGATGAGAAGCCTTCAGAGAAAGGGGTGACAATGATGGGGGGTCCAGGCTCACGTGGTACCATACCGTGACACGCACAGCATGGTACGTTCGGCGAAACCCAGTGGCAGCTCAGCCATGAGTAGCGAGTCATTTTGCATGCAGTTCATGCATGCGGTCTCCAAGATGATGCAGGGCCAAGGCGGATGTCAAGATGGTCTCCCCGGGTTCGAAGTGTTTGCATCGAAACGGAAGAACAAGGCTTTAGCCAATGCTCCATCAGCAGCTGGTGAGTCATCCAGATCGAAGCTGGCGCTGGAAGATAGGAAAGCCGAACAACACGAGTCTCAGGAAGAGAAACCTGCCGAAGAACAGAAGCAGAAAGGACTGTTTGATTTGAAGTTGCCAGAGGGGAAGCAGCCTGCTGATCCAAAGGATCAACTGGACGCCATGGTTGGCACCTTCAACGCAAGGAGTAAAGCCAGGAAAATTGAAAGGGAAGAGGAGAAGGACACCAGTCCAAATGAAGCTCCACCCAAGGCTAAAGCGAAAGCCAAAGCAAAGGGCAAAGCAAAATCAGTCTGCAAGAAGGTCACCAAGACTGCGGTGAAGCAATCGCCACCCAAGACTCCCAAAAAAAACATCTTGCAAGAAGGGTTCGCCGCAATCCTCCGAAAAGCAACCACGTGGTTCCGCAGAGCAGCAGAAGGCCCCCCTGGCAGGGCAAACCTTTTTTTGGCACGGTGGCAAGGTTCATCGATCAGATCGAGCGAGCTGCTGGAGGGTCTTCCTTTGCGCAGGAGACCGCAATGACAAGAAGGTCGCCTTTAAGGGAGACTGTCAGTCAGCCTTTGCGAGGGCTTTGCGGATGATTGAAGAGGGCCAATAGTTTCACTTGGGAT